TGTGTGTGTGTGTGTGTGTGTGTGTGTGTGTGTGTGTGTGTGTGTGTGTGTGCGCGTGTGCCCGTGCTGCGTGCCAGCAGAACCGTGAGCCGCTGTGTTTCTCACTCTATATATTTTCCAAAGCATTCCTAACGAAATCAATGCCCTTCCGCCATCATCCTTCTCTGGGTGCGTTGCATCAACGAGCTCCAAGAAAAAAAATGAAGTTGCCCCGTTCTCAAAAAAATATCGACTCTGTAACGTGTATGCCTACATGAGCTCCCAATGCTGAGGACACACTCCGCCATTCCATTCATGTCACTTCTGTGTGCACTGCCCATCGCAGAGGGAGCAGGCATGCTTCCATTCTTCAGCGTTGATGGGGAATTATGGGCATCATTTGTCTGCGTGCAACTTCCCTTTGACGAGGCCCATTTCAAAGAGTATTCTACAAGAAGCTCGTCACCTCTCTTTAGACTATTAATGTTACTCGGCTCGGTCGTGACGCCCATCAGTTCCCGTCATACAGATGTGATCTGCTTCGCTCCGGTCGGTTGATCGTGCTCGTTGGCATATCCTTCCACTCTTCTGCCACAGAAAGCTTGCTTCCCCCGGCCCGTCCCCCCCCTCCTTCTGTGTTATTGATCTCAATCATCGACATCATCTGCCCACGGAAGGACTTCCCGTGCTTTTCAAGTCGATCGCACAGGGAGGTCCTCGCCTCTCTTTATACTATCGATGTCATTCAGCTCGCTTACAATGCCCATCAGTTCCCATACATTCGCCATCGGCTTTATCCCGATCTCTTGATGGTGCTCGGACCAGGAATGGTCGCAATTGCAGACCCAGGGGCTGTCAAATCGGGCACATTGGCACTTTGGCCGCCTGCACGCATGCGAGACTGGGTCATGCTCGGTGTGCTTATGTTTACATCGGCATCGGAGAATCCATGCGCCTTGGCCAACGATAAAGAAGAATGAGGGGCACTGACACTTGGCGACGGAGCACTTGAGCACAGGAGGAGGAGAAGGTTCACTTCCTGTCGATGCACTTGCAGCAGACGAGGACGCGATCGACGCGCTCGCACCAGGCAAGGGTGGCATTGACGGTGCAGGTGAGCTCTGACTGCCGCCGCCGCCGCCGCCACCGCCACCGACAATATTACCCTTTCCAGAAATTGTATGCTGGGGTGCTGACGATTTCCGAGGAGCCACCGGAAGAACATTGTTCTTCCCATGGTCCTTGAAGCGATGCCCGCACATGCATCGTGATTCCGCGAGGACGGACACACATTGCTTCTGGCATTGCCTGCAAGTCCAAGTGACCGATGTGCAGAATTTCCGACCTTGCTTTTGTTTCTGAAGAGCAGGGCTCGAGGACGAGGGCTCGTTCACATCCTTGCAGGATGCCTCCAATTTCCCGTCCACCGTTTGCATCGGCGGGGATGTCGCCATCTTGGCTTGTCGTTCCGCTCAGAGCTTTAGATGGGGATCTACCGTTTGGCACGTGGCACAGCAAAATCAGCTCCTGTCTTTCCTGATCCTGGCTCCCAATGCTGGAGAGTGCTCATTGAGGGCAACAACAGAAGAGAGAAGGTGGGAGGCAATAGTGTGTTGCGCCTGGGCATTGAAGGGGGGATTTGTTCGGTTTGGGTGATGTGAAAACACACAGAGCAGCGATGCTCAAGAGTGAAAACAGAGACGGAAAGAGTAATCAGGCATCCATTTATATTTATATATTAGAAGTTAGAACAAAATGAACAATTCAAGACCGCTAGCTACCACTACTTTACCAGATACCAACACAACATCATACACTTCATTAATCAATCAATTAAGACCTTCTCTAAAGCTACTGTCTGTTTGCTCAATTACTTCATTAGTTAGTCAGTCATCTAACTCAGCATGTCTGCAATGACTCGGCACGCATGTCGTGTCCGCTAAACACAACTCGTCAACAGGAGCTTGACTGTCATGGACCTTGTCACTGGACTTCCACTCCATCCTCAGGAGATCCAGCCTCAGCAGCCTATTCAGGACACATCTAGCGCGATGTATACAGGCACAAGCCCTGTGATAATACACACACACACACACACACACACACACACACACACACACACACACACACACACACATGCACACGCAGGCAAATGCACAGAGCCCTCGTAATAGTCCAATACATTCAAAATAGAAACAGTCTGGATGTATCTGGTGCCAGATACATTCAGACTGTTTCAAAGTTTGAATACATCGAGACAATAACTCGCACGCACTCACACACACACACACACTCGAGTGCTCTCTCTCTCTCTCTCTCTCTCTCTCTCTCTCTCTCTCTCTCTCTCTCTCACACACACACACACACACACACACACACACACAAACAACATTGTCAACAGCAGGCACTCTGGAGCAATGTCCAAATTCCAACCTGCCTGGACTCTCTCTCTCTCTCTCTCTCTCTCTCTCTCTCCCCCCCCCCCC